GCTATCTACTGGAACTTGGGCACATCTGTAAATAAACTGGCTTTACCACTCTCTATCCCCCAGAATCCATCAAGTTCAAGAAACAAACTTCTTGAGAATGATAATCATGAAAAATAGGTATAAGAAACTTGAAGATTGGTATCTCCCCATCTCTTTGTCTCTTTGGTGCATGATCTCTGTGACTGTTTGTAACGCATCCACTTTCATGGGTACCTCTACATAGTGCATCCTAAAAACAATTCTCTATAGTAAAAGATCTTCAGGAGGTATCTCCATCCCTGGTCTCAAGCTGTACTATAGAGCAACAATACTAAAAACTGCATGGTTCTGGTATAGAAACAGACTGATGCATCAATGGATTTGAATAGAAGACCCTGACATAAATCCACGCACTTATGGACACCTGATTTTTTTACAAAGATGCCAAAACCATTCAATGGAAAACAGATAGCATCTTCAACAAATGGTGCTGGTCTAACTGGACGTCTACATGTAGAAAAATGCAAATAGATCCATACTTATCCTTTTCCTCTTTTGACATCCATACTTTTAAAAATTAACATTCTCCTTAATTCCATGAATATTTCATTTTCTAGTACAGTCATATCTCACTTAATGTATTTCTGCCGTTAACTACAAGATTATGAGGTCAAAAAACTTTTGTTAAACAAAATTCTATCGAAGCTATGGAAGAAATGGAAGCCTTATTCACTTTTGGCAGGATTGCAAACTGGTGCAGGCACTCTGGAAATCAGTGTGGAGATTTCCTGAAAAACTTAGAGTAGAGCTATCATAGAACCCAGCAATACTGTTCCTTTTCGTATGTCTAAAGGTACTCCACGGGTACTTGCTCAGTAATGTGCGCTGTCACTCTATTTATAATAGCTACAAATTGGAAACACCCTAATAGTCCTTCAACTGATAAGTGGATATGGAAAATGTAGTACATTTACACAATGGAATATTCAACTCTAAAGACATTTATAGGTAAATTTATAGGTAAGTGGGGAGAACTAAAATAATAATAATATGTTGAATGAAGTAACCTAGACCCAGAGACATAAACACCTCATGTTCTTATTTGTGGATCTAGCTCTGTGTCTTTATGTGTGAGTATATAACCCAGCATAAGTGAAGAAATAGGAAAGTAAAAAGAGCTCATGGGGAAGGATGGATCTCTAAAAAGGAGGAGAGTAGGACACAGGTGTTATGAAGGAAAAACTGTGAGTGATTAATGAGAAAGGTGAAGGGAGAGAAGGAAGGATGGATAAATAATACTAAAGATGTCTGAAAAGGCCACAAGAAACCATTATTGTATGTTCACATAAAAATAAATGTGTGTGTGTTATAATTTATGACATTTGGAGTGACAATGCTCCTTTCAAAAGCCATGGGCAATCTAAGAAACACCCTTGTACCAGGCCTGAGAAATCTCTTTTTAGATTGTTAGTTCAGAAGAAAGCCTTCCACAATAATAGAGGCTACTGTTGTTCTTGGTTGACTCTCAAAACTTTAAGGAAGACCCAATTGCTGAAGATACCACATACTTCAGGCACAAGACTTAAAGGAAGTCAAGCAGAACTGGCCAGAAAGCCTCCTCCTGGAGGACCAGCTTTCATAGTACAAGAAAGTGCCAAGGGAGGAAAATGAGTGATAGTCCTAACTGCTTGTGAATTAGGATGACGAGCATGGCAAAGTAGCCGCATGGCTGTGGTGGCGGCCCTTGCTTCTTGAAGGTAATCAAAGACCATCTCATTGAATCTGAGACCTAAACAAAAGGAGGGAAATGATGCGTGGCACTATAAACCTGACCAACTAGCCATGGATGGTGAAGTCATGGGCTGCAGAGCATAACCCATGACTGCCATTTTCCTAAACCAGTTTAATTCCCATTTGCATTTTAAATACTTGTCTTTATACCCACAGGTAGATGTAGCTCTCATTCCCCATCAAAGAAGCTTTTTGCTGCAGATGAAAACCTTCAACTAGTCAAAGTACAGAAAACAGCCAGTATCCACCCCCAGTTCATATATCTACAGCACAATCTCCATACCTCAGGCTCAGGAAACATCATAGAAGAGAGGATGGAAAAATTATATGAGCCAGAAAACCATGACATCTGCTATGAGCCATATGAAAAGGAAGCTGCACCCGAGAAATTGCCCAATATGATCACCCAAACAAACTGCTCGATGGCACCTCAATTGACATGTCAATGTGGAGAGGAAAAACCTCACAGGACCCCAGCCCTAGGCAAAGAGCTGCATGTAGTTAATGGCTACTATGAGGGAGAATGACTTTTCTCCAAGGACAAGCCTCTGATAAGTTACCCAGTATCAAGTAGTTACATATGAGTAAGACTAAATGAACTCAAAAGGTTGCACACACACACACACACACACGTGTGTGTGTGTGTGTGTGTGTGTGTGTGTGTGTGTGTGTGTGTGTTGTGGTTGTAAACATGTTGTTTTGGTCCCAGGTGTGGGATATGTGACGGATTCAGATGGTCCACAGCAGCAGACTGACTATTTGCCTCTCTCGGGCTCTGAGAGGAGCTCTTTGCCAGCTGTAGATAGTTTAAATCTGAGGACTCTGGAGAGAGAATAAATGCCAGAGCCCAGAGAGTGTGTAGTGAGAAAGGATAAGGCTGCTCCTGCTTCCTCCTGTGGCTCCAGTTGCTGTTGATGGAGTGATACAAGAAGTTGGAGATCTTCTGAAATGAGGATTGGACTGGCTTCAAGGAACCTGGTGACCCTAGCCAGCAGGAAGCAGCTAAGAGAACTGCACCCCCCTCTCCCACTAACCCTTTCTCTTACCTGTTGTCGAAGTGTTGGAAGGGATTGGGGTGGAATAGGGAGAAAAAGATAAAAGAAATATAAAAAAATGCATTTTTTAAAGTACACCAACGTGTGTGTGTGTGTGTGTGTGTGTGTGTGTGTGTATGCAAAATTAATAATTGAAGAAGGGGTAGAATAATAAATAGGCCATGAATTTGAGAGGTAATATTAAGGACTTAGAAATTAGAGAGATGGGAGTGAAAAGTGAATGTTATAAATATAATATTCGTGTATTAAATTCTTTAAAATCTTTAAATTAAAAAAAGGGTTTAGCTGGGTGTGTGGTACATGCCTTTAATCTCAGCACTTGGGAGACAGGAGGCAGGCATATCTCTCTGAGTTCAAGGCTAGCTTGGTCTATATAGTGAGTTCCAGTATAGCCAGGACTTTGTAGAGAGAACAAGTCTCAAACCCACCAAAAAAGGGGGTGGGGGTACGTAGTGCCATTGTGGCGTGATTGGAAGAATGAGCGCTCTTCTAGAGAGCTTGCTAGTTTTGTGTCAACTTCACATAAGCTAGAGTCATTTGGAAGAGGAAACCTCAACTGAGAAAGTTCTCACACCATATTGGCCTGTGTAAAAACCTGTGGTGTATTTTCTTAATTAGTGATTGACGTGGAGGAATCCTATTATGAGTGGTGCCTACTCTGGGCAGATGATCCTCACAAGACAGCAAGAACTAACAAAAAGCAAGAGGCAGCATTTCTTCACAACCTCTGCATCAGTTCTAACCTCCAGGTTTCTTTCCTGCTTGAATTCCTAACCTAATTTCCTTGGATAATGGATTACAACCTACAAGATGAAATAAACTCAAAGACTCAACATAGAAAGAAAATTTCAGACCAATCTCCCTTATGAACACTGATGCAAAAATACTCAATAAGATACTTGCAAGATTCAAGATAAGATTCAAGAACACATCAAACACATCATCCACCATGATCAAGTAGGCTTCACCCCAGGTATGCAGGGATGGTGTAGCATATAAAAATTCATCAATGTAATCTACCATATAAATAAACTGAAAGAAAGAAATCACATGATCATCTCATTAGATGCAGAAAAAGAGCCTTTGACGAAATCCAACACCCCTTCATGATAAAAGTCTTGGAGAGATCAGGGATACAAGGCCCATGCCTAAACATAATAAAGGCTATATACAGCAAGCCGATAGCCATCATCAAACTAAATGAAGAGAAACTCAAAGCAACCCCACTAAACTCAAGGAGAACACAAGGCTGCCCACTCTCTCCATATCTCTTCAATATAGTTCTAAAAGTTCTAACTAGAGCAATAAGGGAACTAAAGGAGATCAGAGGGATACAAATAGAAAGGAAGAAGTTAAAGTATCGCTATTCACAGGTGATATGATATTATACATGAATAACCCCAAAAAATCCACCAGGGAACTAACTCCTGCAGCTGATAAACTCCTTCAGCAAAGTGACTAGAAACAAGATTAATTTAAAAAAAAAAATCAGTAGCCTTCCTGTACACAAATGACAAATGGGCTAAGAAAGAAATTAGGAAAACTACACCCTTCACAATAGCCACAGATAATATAACTATCTAGGGGTAACTCACCAAAGAAGTCAAAGACCTGTATGACAAGAACTTCAAGTATCTGAAGAAAGAAATTGAAGACAGAAAGATCTTCCATGCTCATCGAAGATCTTTAACATTGTAAAAACAAAAATTTCTTATGTCATCTTGAACTCTTAATAACTTTCCTTGAGGAAAAAAAATCCCTCTGTCAAGGATTTTTTTTTTATTAATGAGAACATGGTAATACTAAAACTAGCTACGTATGCTGAACTTAATAAACTGGACTATGAGTTACTTAAATCCAAGATCTGTGACTATTTTTGTCACAAATGACCTTCTAGTTACCATCATTTTCAGCATACAGAAGGTGCTCATTAAATTTCTGGAAAAAAGGTGGGGAAGAAAAACAACAGCCTTGAGGTCATTAGCACTGTCTCACTATTTGCCAGTTAATCAACCCTGGACTCTGATTCAGGCTCTGATTCAGGTTGCTCTCATTCTTCTCCCAACCTATACACAGGCGGAGCATCTTTTTAAATCTTTTTAAATATGTGGGCAATATAAATAGGAGGGCTCAGTGTTCATGAAGGACAGTCTGTGATCTAGAAGCCACAGCATCATGAGTATCTCTGCACTGAGCCCCACCAGATTTCTGGAAAGCACCTCTGGGCTCCTCCAAGTGGCCTTTCTGGCTGGCCTGCTTCTGCTGCTGTTCAAGATAGCACACCACCACCTGTGCAGACAATGGCTGTTGGAAGAGCTCCATCAGTTCCCATCTCCACCCTCCCACTGGCTCTTTGGCCATTATTTAGAGGTATGAAGAAGTGGAACTGGGAAGGGGGTGAGCTGGGGCCTATGGATTATCTCTTTGAAGGTATAATCATGGAAAAACTGAGGCTACAGAAACTGAAGATGAACATATTCTTCCCAGGGTGCACAGTATTGATTCTTTTGCATGTTTTGCGGGGGGGTCTGATTCAAGGCCTCACATGTGCTAGTAAAGGCCTCTATCAGTGATACACATAGGAGACAAAGCCTATTGTCTAACAAGCCTGTGACCTCTGTAGAAACCTATCTTTACTATCAGCTTAAGCAAATCTCAGATAGTATGGAACTCTCTTCCTCATAAGAAGCCAGCTCTGCTGTTTCTAAATTCTGTTCCACAGTCCTTCCTTGCATCCATCTATCTTGTATCTTACTAGCCCTGCACTTCAAGGGCCGAGCTTAGTCTTTTGTGAGTCTCCTCTTAGGTTGGATCACCTCCAGTATTCCAACTGTTCTGAAAGAATCAGGCTTCTAGAGCTAGGCGTGGTGGCACAGGCCTGTAATCCCAGCTCTCAGGGAGGAAGAGGCTGGCAGATCTCTGTGAGTTTGAGACAACTCTGGACTACAAAGTGAGTTTAGGACAGCCAAGGCTACCCAGAAAACCCCTGTCTTGAAAAACCAAAAAAAAAAAAAAAAAAAAAAAATCAGGCTTTTCTTCTAGACAGTGCCATACTGAGTCACTCAATGCTATCCTCTCTGCCTAGTCCAGAGTCTGCCTTCGAACAAAAACAACATTGTGATGAAATCCTTGCCCTGTCTGTGGTGAGAATAGACAAGAAGTTCAGAACATGTCAAAACACAAGAAAAGTATTGATTCTTCTGTGATGGCTGCACAATTTTTGGAGGAATGACGAACTCATTTGAAATTTCCCCCCAAAATGGTGACTTAGGGCTGAAACCCTAACAATGATGTTCTTCAGTTAAATGACATTGACATCTGAGGGTTTCCCCCATTAAATAGGGTCTGTTTATCTCCCGGTTCTCCTAGCAGGAAGTCTGAATTATGAGCTCCTTGGAAGAACACTATCCACATCACTGGGCCATGTATCCCAGTGCCCAGCAGAGCCTCACACAAGCATGACATAACACAGGAAAGAGGGAGAGGACCCAGATGAGGGCTAGAGGGTCAGCTCAGAACCCCTGGCCTTCCATACCTCAAGGTGGGAATTCCAGAGCTAGACCACTGTTTTCTAGAAGGCCATGTTATGGTCAGCAGAGGGCAACCTACCCAAGAAGTGAACTATAAATATTGGCCATAGGGAAATGGCCAAAACCTAAAGGCAAAGTTTAATTGTATAAAAATGTTTTATTAATAACTTACAGATTCGTTCTTGATTTGAGACATTATGACCTATTTGTTGACAGAGTTGTTGCCAGCTAAATAATACTCTTTCTTGAGCTAGCAGTTGACAGAAGTAGCAGTTAAGACTTCACTAGTGACACTGCAGCTGTCCCAATGGTCACTGTAGAGAGACTCACTGGGGGCTAATTTCTATCTGTACGAATAGTAATTTGGCGACACTGAATGACCTCACAACTTCTGGTGATTTATGGCAACTGCTGCCCTAAATTCTAACCCTTGTCATGCTGTCATTACCTCTATTATTGCATAAGTTAAGAAGAACGATGAGTGACGTGTGTAACTAGGTAAAAACAATGGCAGTAATCTGGAACAGGAGTTGCAAGCAGCAGGCTGCCTTGCATGCTAAGATCAGAAAAGCAGCATGCTACTGTGCTAAAAAGCATCTTCCCTGGTGTTAGCAGGATCAAGCTGAAGGGATCACAGAGAATCAAATCGCGTACCTGAGTCAAGGGCACCCAGTGGACAGTCCCTACAGTGGACTAAAATACAGAGCAGTTTCAATGATGAGTGTGATGAGAGAATAAAAATCAGCGTAACTCAAGCAGGATGGCTCTCAGCTATTGTCAGGATAGACTAACCCACATTTAGCTCGCTAGAACACAAATTCAAGTTGCATTTGCTTCGCGGTGGCTCCTTGTTCCTCAGAAGGAAACTGACATAGGTAAGTGCTTACTGGTTATTAGTGAACCCATCTCTGCCATTCATTCATGTGTCCACCCACTCACTTCACAAGGAGCATTTCATCTATCTCTGCCAAGCTCAGCTTTCTTTCAGTTTCTCATGCCCTCCAACAGGTGAACCTCTGCAATCCCTGTTACATTCAAATGGACCAGGAGGACACAGGGACTAGCTTGTCACAATAAGACTCCGATAAATTTCATTATGCATGCCACACAGTCCTGACCTAAAAAAAAAAAAAAAAAAAAAAAAAGCATAGTTGTGAGGTGTCAGTACAACAAGAAAAGTAATGTTCTGGACATCGTGTGAGCCTGGACTGCCTTGGGGAAGGGAGTGTTGCTTGTGATTTGTGCCTTTGTTACTAATTTCTACAACAGGTTCTGCTGCACAGTACAGCCTCAGTCAATACCCGATGAACAGTTAAGTGATGTGCAGAAATAAAGGGCCCAACAACCTAGGGCTCTGTGTCTCTTCTCCACCCCTTCTGCACTGTGGCTGCTCTCTGTCGCCGACTTCTACAAGACTCCTCTGACTCCAGTCTTCTTTTATTCTTTCACATTTCTTGCAGTAGACCAAGATTGTATCTCTCTTGCCTCAAACATAGTGAAAACTCATTTACCCACTGGTTCCTCCCTTTGCGTATTCATTTCTATAAAAATAATGATCGCTGAGGACAATGCTGTATGTTTGGCTGAGAACCCAAAGATGACAGATTTAGGAGCTACATTTGCCACCCAAAACTAAAGACACTCAAGAGCTGTGGAACAGAGGGGATGAACACTGTGGGCTGCACAAGTTTGGATCTAATACCATCACAGGGACATAACATTTAGTGTCAGTGTCCTCATTCTTCAGGAAAACTAGATATACTAACAGTTCCTCTTCTCACACAGCATTGCCTGGGCATCACAGAACAGTATCGGTTTGATTGGGTTGCAGCACACACACACACAAAAAAGCCACTACCTGGGCTGATAAGACAACAGAAATGTGTTTCCTCTCATTGTGGAGTCTAGAAGCTTCTGGCTGTGGTTATGATGGGGGTGGTTTTTTATCTGGGCTCTAAAGATATTTCTGTTGCAGATCTGTCTCTTTGGTTTATAAACGGTCACCTTACATCACACCCATCCTCATGTATATTGCCGTGTCCAAAATTCCTCTCTTCCTAAGGACAGCATCATGGTGGGTTAGATCCTTTATCATAACCTCATTTTGCTTTGGTTGTCTCTATGAAGACCCTGTATCCTGGTAGTGTCGCATTCTGAGGTATTAAGAGTTAACATCTGAGCAGAACACAACTAACACAAGAATCTTAACACAAGTAGGTCTAAGAATAAGTTTTGCCCTATGGACTCCAGCTCTGGAAAGTGGTCAAGCAAAGCTGTAAGGGCACTTCAGAGAGAGATCTCTTACATGGCCCAACATGGAGTCATACTCTTACCTTCATGACATGTCCTGGGCAGATGCCATTAAGGCTAGACCATGACACAGTTCTCCACAAGCAGCCAGCTACTTGGCACTCTGTGGGCAGACCCAGCACCATGTCTCCATATCTGAAAACTTATCACTCGTACTTCAAGCTTGGACCTCAAGACAGTAGTGTTATTTGTCTTTTTTTTTTTCCTGGTGACAGTTCAAAGAGGACCAGGAGCTGCAATGGCATTTAAGATATGCAGAGAAATTCCCAGGTGCCTATGTCTATTGGATATGGGGGAGTAAAGCCTTCATCCAGATCTATGACCCTGACTACATGAAAGTGATTCTGGGAAGAGCAGGTGAGAGTGGATCCCACAAGGTGAATTCATCTTCTCCCAAGCACGTGTTTAAAATCTGATAAACACCAAGATGTTAAAATATGTGAAGCATCGATCTTATTCTTTCCCACTGCTCAAGCCACAGCTCAGCTCAAGATCAATAATACTCACTAAATACGGAACGATTCTAACAGTTGTCTGGCTTGAATTTTTACTTTTTTTCCTTAGTTACAGTTGCCTGTAATATAAATTGAGTTTGAAACCTCTAATTCATAAGACTATGCCACAATACACAATAGAAGCCACACAGTTTGGTCCTTTCTCTGATACTGAGAACATGATTGATATGTTTAAGCACTTCTGAACAGTGCTGGCTGTTCATCATCTGGGATATGATGATTGCCTTTCTGAATCCAACTGACTGTACCAAGGGAACTAAAGGGGTAGTTTGTAGTGGGAGAGGACAAGGGACAGTCTGCCAATAGAGATTCACCAAGAACCACGGCCTTAACCACAGATGCCTTATTTGGCCAATGCCAATTTCCCATCAAGTTCCTTTCTTTCAGACCCAAAGGCTGACATCTACAGACTCTTGATCCCTTGGATTGGTATGTATCTTTAGCCAGGACTCTGGTCACTCCCCAGTTAGGTTTTCTGGGTGCTAACATCTTCCTATTGTATTCCTTTCTTCTCCCTCCGAACCCTTACTTTTATTATTTTTATTTTATGGGTAAATGCACGTTCCTGGTGCCTGGAGAGCATAGAAAGGGTCATAGGATGCCCTGTAACTGGAGTTACAGAGAGTTATGAGCCACCATGTGGTGCTGGGAATTGAACCTGGGTTTTCTGGGAGAAGAGTCAGTGCTCTTAACCAGTCAGCCACCTTCTAGGCCTTCCTCTTAATGCTGTCTGGTGCTGATGCTGTGTTCCTTCTCTGCATCCCGTCTTCATTATCTCTGAACATTCTCAGCCCTGCTTTTATTTGTACTCCTTCTTACCCTGCCTTCAACTCCGTTAAAAACATTTTGTAACTAGCATAAACAGTATTAGATTTTGTCATGGAGTTTTTAAACAAAATTACTTCCTGGTAATTCCACTCTCTCCCACTTCTCCCCATCCCCAGCCCTCCTTTAACCCTCCAGTCTCCCTGTAGCCTTTTTCCACTCTCCTGTCACGTGGGCCATGTTGCCCTCTCCTCTTTTCCTTGATTTCTCTTGTCCCCTCCCATTGTTTCCCTTCTAGTTTCATAACCTGTGTAGACCGTTGCCCCCACCTACATGCACATGCAAACACTATGAACTAGAATCTGCATCTGAGACCCCGTCAGCTTCACGCACATCTGTCCTGATCTCATCAGATGTATTAGCCCAATCCTGAGTACTGTTACTCTTTGCTATTCCTGTTCAGGATTTTCTTCTTACTCCATTATTCTACCTCAGGACCTCCACTATCTGTCTCTCCCAGATTGTCCTAATTTTTTCTTTTGGTCCCATTAACCCCTGGGTTCACACACCCAACCAATTCTTGCCCAGGACATAGTTTGTTCTTTTTGAACGGGCATAAGTGGTTCCAGCATCGTCCGATATTGACCCCGGCTTTCCACTTTAACATCCTGAAGGCCTCTGTGGGGACCATGGCAGACTCTGTGCAAGTGATGCTGGTGAGTCTTTCTCTCTCTCTCTCTCTCTCTCTCTCTCTCTCTTTCTCCTTCTCTCTCTCTTTCACACATACACACATACATAAATACACACAGACCAACATACTCAGATCTTATTTTTTTATGTAAAGAGTCAAAAGACACAAATATGTGGAGCCACACTCTGAAACCATTACTGTGAAAATAAATTCTTCAAAACTGCGAGACAGAAATGACTCTGGCAAGTTTTCCCATATCTAAGAGACCATCATGGGAGATACAAACCCACTTCCCACATCTAAGCTTCAACACAGTGGACAACAACACTCAGTTCCCATAGATATCAGGGTGGCTTTCCCTTGCTGGCTAGTCAGTGGTGGTTTCAATGGCAGGATAGTCATCCAAGGCTGTCATTTAATCCTTCTCGGTCTTAGGATCTACTACTTCTTTTCTGACTAGAGGGACTAGACTGTGGAATAGAAGCCAGAACTTCATTCTCGTGGGCAAAGCTGCTGAACTCTCCCTTCCCACATGAAACTTCATTTCTGAACCCTCAGTGCTTCATTCTCATCTGACTTTAATGAATGAAGAGGAAGTGACATTGGGGAAGGCCCCGTTTAGAAATGCATATGCTGTTCCCTTTGTCTTTCATTTCCCAAACATATTTTATGTTCATATTTGAAAACTGGTAAGTTTTTCAAGTCTAATTTATCTTTATGAGCACTGAGGGTGAGCTGAGACATGGTCAAAAGCTTAAAGGTCGTAACCAATTTCCAAAATCAAAATACTGTCAGATGATAGATATTTAGAGACATACTCAATTTAGTAATGGACTCTCTGAGAAATAGACTTCAAAGTACAATTTTTTTTTCATTTTTAATTTGGTAGGAGGTGTCGCTTGCTCATACACAGAGCTAAGTATCTGGAGATGGAGAGAAGGAAACTGGTGTGTAATTTGCACAGGACCTCTGAGGGGGGAATGAGAAAAACATATCGCACTCCCAACACAGGACAGATGGGAGCAGCTCGCTTGCCAAGACACCTCTCTAGAGATCTTTCACCACATCTCGTTGATGATGCTGGACACCATCATGAAGTGTGCCTTCAGTTACCAGGGCAGTGTGCAGCTGGACAGGTCAGTGAGCACTCTGCAAGCACAGGGACCTTATTCTCACCCACTGATGGGGCCTCACCTGAGAGACATGAAAAGCAAGATTATGACCCAAGGCCCTGGCAAGTTCTAACTAAAAACCAGATCCCAAACTGCCTTAGCCATGTACCCCATTCATAGGGCTGTAACGCAGAATGAATGTGCACTAGCACGGCAAACGCCTGGCTGTGTTTGTCACCATCAAAGGGCCCAGAATTCACAAGGCTATAGCACAGAATGAATAAGTACCTCGGTGCTACTTATTCAACTTTCCTAGATGGAATCCTTAATGAAACTCAGCTCTATTTCTGAGTCAGGCCTCTGCATCACCAGCCTGTTTTATATCCTCTCCTTCACGGATTCTCATGCGTACCTCCAAGCTGTTAGTGACCTGGGCACCCTAATACCTTCCCGTATGAAGAACGCCTTCCTCCAGAACGACATTATCTACAATCTGACTTCTGACAGCCAAAGGACCAAACGTGCCTATCGGGTTGCCCATGAACATACAGGTTTTGTTTTCTCCTTTATATATCTCCTTTAACAGGTCAGCCTAAATGAACTGGTCGTGACTTCTCAGGTCTGCCCATTGCCTCTAGTGGACACACGCATCCTAGGAATTTCCCTAGTACAAGTGATGGTAGCAGAGATGGTAGGGTGTCTGGAGGCCTGGGAGTGCTTTCCCTGCTACTGTTTAAGCAATGTTGTTTGATGCTCATTGTAGCAACTCAAGCAGAGGCTGCATGAGCCCTGGTCCAGAGGGGAAGACTAAACATCCTTCAGATGGTATTGTATGCTCAACATTCCTCTCTCCACTCATTTCCTGGAGTCTACAGAGAACTCAGTTTGGGAGGGGAGGATCATAGGGCTTCTGTGGGTTGCTGTAGTTCTCACTCCTGTCTCTTAACATTTTCGTGGCACAGACCAAGTGATCAAGCTGAGAAAGGCTCAGCTGCAGGGCGAGGAATCACTGGAGGAGCTCAAAGGAAAGAAGCAATTGGATTTCCTGGACATCCTTCTGTTTTCCAGAGTGAGTGAGTAGGGCCGAGGCCTGAGACATTTCCCAGGATTAGACTAAGTGACAAAGACTTCTCTCTCACCTGTGGACTCCCCAGACAGAAGATGGGAACAGCTTGTCTGACAAAGAGCTGCGAGCTGAGGTAGACTCACTCATGTTTGGGGGTCAGGACACACCAGCCAGTGGTGTCTCCTGGGTCTTCCATGCTTTGGCCACACATCCTGAGCACCAGCAGAGATGCAGAGAGGAGCTTCAGAGCCTTCTAGGGGATGGAGCACCCATCACATGGTGAGTGAGAGGGCAAGGGAAAGGGAAACACCGCCATCTGCTAAAGGGAGTCCCTGGTTCTTTCCAGCTCGGCTTGCTCTTCATGTCGGGCCTCATTTCAGGGAGCACCTGGACAAGATGCCCTATACCACCATGTGCATCAAGGGGGCCCTGAGGCTCTACCCAACAGTACCAGTTGTGGGCAGAGAGCTTAGCACGCCTGTTACCTTCCCAGATGGGCGCTCCTTACCCAAAGGTATGAGCTCCCACCTTCAATGACTTAAGCTTTCTCTGGGGACAAGGGAAAATCAGGAGTTTATGTGTGCTTCAGGAGTGCTGAATTCATTCCGTTTTCTTCTCCTTGCAAGTAAATCTGTGCATACTTCATGGGAAAATGACGTGTAGATTTGCATTTAATTAGAATAGAATTATCAATCTCCAACAATTTGAAATTCACTTTTATGACAATAAGTCCCTTTATTTGGATTCCATAATTTTTTTTTTCCTGTAAGATATGATGGGTCACTCTTTACTTATTTATTTTCTTAATGTGTCTAGGTATTTTTCCTGCATGCTACATAGGTGTAGCACATGTTTGTAGTGCCACTGAAGGCCAGGACAAGGTGTTTGGTATTCCGGAACTGCTCTCAGCTGCCTGCCGTGTGGATGCAGAAAACTGAACCCAGGCCCTCTGAAAGAGTGCCCTCTTAACCACTGAGCCATCTTTTTATGTCCTTCATGATGTTTAGCGTCCAACCTCCTGCACTGGCCCCTGATAGCACAAAGCAGACACTTCTTTCTTAGCGGCACACTCTTCAAGGCATTCTTCACAGTGGCTAGACTGTGTGGGGTGGCTGCACTGCCCTGCATTCCTCAGAAAACATATTTGTTTACACCGTGATGACTCGAATCTCAGCGTCTTTCCTGTGTGGATTCAACACCCGTGTAACACCTGGAAGTGAGTCCGTGACTAGCGTATAAAAGTCTCACTTCCTGAAAGTAAAAAAGTTGGAGAGATGATGAGATAGAGGTGAGGGTGATGTGGTTCTTTAAATGGGTTACTGCAAAGGAAGGGACGAGAAAGAAAGTTCTGTGCTGTGAATTATAGATGGTCTGGTATCCTCAGACTGTTGGTAGAAACCAGAGCTGATGGTGTGTTCTCCAACGCATGGAAGGCGTTTGATAAATGTGAGTGGTCACTTACAGTGACTTCACAATGGGCCTTCAGAACTCTCCTACATTTCATTCTACAATCATCATCATTTTCTCTTCAATTTCCCCACAAGATCATGTTGATCAAAGCTATGATTTATGGAACCAGGTCTTTCATGTATACAAGGACTCTGCTGTCCATCAGAGCAGGCATTCATTCCATGCATTTTTTTCTGCCCTACAGGTGTCACAGTTCTGCTCAACTTTTATGCCCTGCACCTCGACCCAAAAGTGTGGCCAAATCCAGAGGTAGGCATTGCTGGAGTAGAGGGAAACACCCCAGGTCTGGCGCCTCTTCCCAGTTTCTCCTAAGAATTCTGCCCCCTCAGGGGTTAAGAGCCAGGGTGTGGCTATTGCCTGTTTTGTCCTCAGCATTCTCTCTGCAGGTGTTCGATCCTTCCCGGTTTGCAAGGGATTCTGTGAGACACAGCCATGCTTACCTGCCCTTCTCAGGAGGATCAAGGTGAGGCATTCGGTGTAGGTGGTGGGGTAGAGGTGAATCCTCAGTCACATACCTGAAGAATGTGATCCCCATGTTTATCTGTGTCAGAGTCAGGTAGGCTTTTGTTTGCTGCTGTTGGCAAAGAAGCCTGTTGAGGATGTGGGTGTATGCAAAAGGAAGGTAGGATTTCAGAGCACTCTGGGGAATGTTAACAAAGTATCCTTCTTGTTGAGGGCCAGTTAGTTTCAGGGTCAGCAGATTCCCTCACCTCAGTGTATTCTGGTATGTTCTTCCCCATTAAAAAGAGGGCTAATAGGAGTTTAATTTAGGTACTGCGCCTTTTCAATTGCCAGGACTCAGTCTCCACGCCTTCTTGACCCGGCCCAGCATCCTTCCTGAGTAGTTCTTTAATATTAAAATACTGCAGCATATAATTACTTTGCAAGGATTTGCTTTCCAGATGTTTGCTATATGCAGCTGTTAAGACTAATGTTTGGAAAGCCACAGTGATGCTTCTAAGAAAGTCTTTGAACAATGTGCATCATGTCACATGCCAGCTCTCCCTTGAGCAGAATCTTCAACTATCTGTTAATATCCATACCCCGTTTACAAGTTTCCTGGCTATCAAAACTTGACAGGGAAAGTAAGATCGATATATATTGAAATTGCACTTAAAGATTATATGCTTTAAACACACACACACACACACATCATGTGAAAGTAAACTGGGTATGATGGAAAAATATCTGAAACATAGCAAAACCTTTGAAAAGTTCTGGGGAAGTGGTAAGGTCTAAACTAGGCTGAAGGATTTGAAGCAACTACAGCATAATTCAGCATAGAATGAAGAATTCCATGTGGCATACAAATCTCCAGAATCTTAAAAATATTAGTAGAAGGCAGTTTTGTTAGAATGATGATGAGCATCCTTAAAATGCTGGACCAACCTCCCCAGAACAAGCTTTAAACAAATTGCCACCTTTTGACTGTTCCCAGTATTGGGTTCAAGGCAGGGCCAGGTCCTTTCTTCCAGCTATCGGTGGAAATTAGGTTGCTAAGAATAAAGGTCAATAAAGTACAGAGAGGTCAGTGCCTAGGAAAAGTAAAATTCACTCTTACTGCATCTTGGATGCCTTACTTTCTCTGTTTAATGCAAACACAAAGGGACAATTTCCCTGCCCTCTAAGTTCTGTCCTAAGAGTGGGACCCAGAGAAATGGGTCCTCATCTGACTCAATGATACCACATTTGTGTTACTCAGAATCAGACTTGAAGCACACATAGAATTTCCTCATGTCCTCTCACCTCTGTAGCTCACTGGACAGTTTGTGGAATAGTGCTCATTCTTAACACTCTCCTATGCCCTGACTCATGTGCCCTTGAAGCACACATAGAATTTCCTCATGTCCTCTCATCTCTGTAGCTCACTGGACAGTTTGGGGAATAGTGCTCATTCTTAACACTCTCCTATGCCCTGACTTGTGTGCCCTTGAATAAAGGACTTGTAGCATGCCTGAGTTAAAAGAGAGACAGTTGACAGATCAGGAAGGCCATCGGCTAGCCTCTAGAACATGCAGGCAAAGGACTAGGGGAAGACGTGAGTCTCATCACTGAGGGGAGCCAGATGGGGAAGCAGCTTGAAGATGTCCTGGCTAAAGTCTCTGTCCAGTTCTGCACAGAGACATGAGACTGTCCTGTTGTTGATGCTGTTGTGTTTGGTTTGGTTTTTATTGGCTCTTTCTTACCCAGGAACTGCATTGGGAAGCAATTTGCCATGAATGAGCTTAAGGTGGCTGTGGCCTTGACCCTGCTCCGCTTTGAACTACTGCCAGATCCCACCAGGATTCCCAACCCTGTTAACCAACTTGTACTGAAGGGCAAGAATGGGATCCACCTGCATCTTAGGAAGCTCCAGTAGTCCTCCAGGGGAAAAATAGCAGGATCTTGGTGCCAGCTGCACGCCATCTTGTCTCCTGTCATACTCCTGGTCCCTGCCTGTCTTTCTTCTGCCTACTTCTACCAGCCCACCTGCCTTTCTCCCTATCTGTCTGCTGAAGAGCCATCAGCCGTCCTGTTCCTCTACCTCTTTCTCTGCCACATCCCTCTAGGCTCCCCATTAGTTCATCTGTCCGTCTGTGTTCCACCTTCCTATATGTTTGACTGTCCTGATGATGGCCCACCTGCTCTCTACCTGACTTTCCCTTTCTTCCTATGTCGCTCTGCCTGTGTGGACCTCCTACTTTGCTGTCATGAACACATGTTCATGGCTTGAACAACACGGATTTATACTTACACTTGTGTGGGGCAGGTATGGCAGATGCTTTCCCCGAGGGAAAGCCAAGTCTCCCAGAAGCTCTCAGGGAGAATCCCTTTCTCTAATTTCTCAGCTTCTGGAAGCTGCCTCATGATACCCAGTGAGTAGTAAATCCCACCATAGTTTCAAGAGTCATCTCTTAGAACTGGCATAAACTAATTATAGACACTATCCACAGCATAGCTTGTTGTGGATGTAAACAAGTTTTTGTTTTAATCCCAGGTGTGGGATGTGTGATGATTCAGATCGTCCGCAGCAGGAAACTATTTGCCTCATGCGGGCTCTGAAAGGAGCTCTTTTTGGCTGCAGAGAGATTAATCCTGAGGAGTCTGGAAAGAGAATAAATGCCAGATCCCAGAGAGTGTTGGAGAGTTCCAAGAGAGAACAAGGCTGCTGCTGCTTCCTCCCTGCGGCTTCTGTTGCTGTGGATGCAGTGAGACTAGAAGTTGGGGATCTCCTGAGTCAAGGACTGGACTGAGTCCAAGGAACCCGGGGACTCTAACAGAAATCAGCTAATAGAACGACACCCCCTCTCTCACTAACCTTTTCCATCTCCTACCTGGTGTTGGGTGTTGGAAGGGATTGGGGTGGAGTAGGGAGAAAAAGATATTGAAAATGTAAAGGAAAGACTTTTTAAAAAGTATGCCAACAAAAGCTGGACCATTTACATGAATAAAGAGTTAAATCAGCCCGGACAGTCTGAACTTAAAAGTAAAAATGGCATCCTATGTTTCTCTAGCTGGTGTGGATCACCCCCTTGAACCTACTTAAATAAAATTAAGTAAAAATTAAAATATTTTAATGTTTTTAATTTAAAAGTAAAAAATTAAAATAAAGTAAGACCTGCTGAAAATAAAATTAAGATCTGCTGTATATCCAAACCATCCAGAGATGACAGTCAACCTTCAGAAGGATAAGGAAGACACACCTCTTCCAACTGTTCTATGTAGTATTGAAACTACATGACTAGGAGCTAAAGATGTGGCTCAGAGGTTAAGAGCATGGCTGCTCTCCCAAAGGTTCTGAGTTCAGTTCCCAGCAACCACATGGTGGCTCACAACCATCTACAATGAGGTTTAGTGCCCTTTTCTGTCATGCAGACATACATGCAGGCAGAACATTGTATCCATAATAAACAAATAAATCTTTTCATATTTTTATTAATTACAGTTTATTCACTTTGTAGCCCAGCTGTAGCCCCCTCCTTCATTCCCTCCCAATCCCACCCTCCCTCCCTCTTCTTCTCCTATGTCCCTCCCCCAGTCCACTGTTAGGAGAGGCCTCCTCCCCTTCCCTCTGACCCTAGCCTATCAGGTCCCTTTGGGACTGGCTGCAATATCTTCCTCTGTGGACTGGTAAGGCTGTTCCCCCGTCAGGTGGAGGTAATCAAAGAGCCAGCCACTGAGCTCATGTCAGAGACAGCCCCTGTTCCCATTACTAGGGAACCCTCTTGGATACTAAGCTGCCATGGGCTACATCTGTGCAGGGGTTCTAGGTTATCTCTATGCACAGTCCTTGGTTGGAGTATTGGAGTATCAGTCTCACAAAAGACCCCTGTGACCAGATTTTTTTGCTATTGTTGCTCTCCTTATGGAGCTCCTGTCCCCACTAGGTCTTTCTATCTCCCCCTTCTTTCATAAGATTCCCGGCACGCTACCCAAAGTTTGGCTATGAGTCTCAGCATATGTTTTGATACCCTGCAGGGGAGAGTCTTTCAGAGGTCCTCAGTGGTAGGCTCCTGTCCTGTTCCCTGTTTTCTCCCTCTTCTGATGTTCATTCTGTTTGCCTTTCTGAATGAAGATTGAGCATCTTACCCAGGGTCCTCCTTCTTGCTTAGCTTCTTTAGGTGTACAGATTTTAGTATGATTATCCTATATTATAGGTCTAACATCCACTTATAAGTGAGTATATACCATGTGTGTCTTTCTGCTTCTGGGATACCTCACCCAGGATGATCTTTTCTAGATCCCACCATTTGCCTGCAAATTTCATGATTTTCTTGTTTTTGATTGCTGAGTAGTATTTCCATTGTATAAATGTACCACAATTTCTGTATCCATTCCTCAACTGAAGGACATCTGGGTTCTTTCCAGCTTCTGGCTATTACAAACAAATCTAAAAAAAAAAAAAAAGTCCAACATTTACCCCAGAGAAGCACTAAAGATGACAGGTTCACTATTCTTCATAGTCTGTGACTTTTACACTGTACTATAATCAAAGTGACTTGAAAGCAAATATGGACGTGCACACATACACATAGCTCTGAATAAGATGCCTCCATCAAATGCCTCCCCTCAGAGCTCAGGGAACCCAGAAGAAGAGGAAGCAGAAGGAATGGGGGAGACAGAGGGGATGGAGGGCACCAGAACAAGGCCCTCTGAAGCAAATGAGCAAAGCTCATATCAACACACACAGACTGAAGCAGCAATCACAGGGCTTACAGCAATCTGCACCAGGTTCTTTGCATATGTACTATGATTTCCAGTTTAGTACTTTATGGGACCCTTGAATGTAAATGAGTGGGTGCTGATTCTCATGACTTCTCTTGAGGCTCATTTATTTTTTCTGTTGGTGTGGCTTGTCCAACTTTGATTAGATGGTTTTCATTTTATCTTGTTATAATTTTATTGTGGAAAGGCAGGAAGAAAGGAAAGAAAGAAAGAAGGGAAGGAAGGAAGGAAAGAAAGAAATAAAGGGCAGCAGAAGCACCACAGGTTGACCAGCTCTGTTGCCATCCCAGCCCAGATCCAACACTTTGAGTTGGTCCACCAACATCTACTCCATCTTCAAGCTGCTGGAGCACGTGGAGCAGAGGTCCTGCAGAACCAGATGGCATCACTGAATAGGGCCAGTCCTAAGTCTGCTGGCTGGAGCGAGCTACTGCTGCTGCTTGCCCTGCTGGGAGACAGGGGTGGGAGGCAGAGTGTGGCTAGTGGTGCTGTCTGCCAGCTACGAGCACAAAGGTAAAGCCCAGTGAGCCTCAGGGAGGCTGGCATCAAGGGTAGGGAGGTGTGCAGCAGCCTGGAACTTACACAGAACTGCCTCCAGGTGCCCTGCCTAGCTGCAAGATCACCCTGACTCTGGGCAACAGAATCCCAGTGACGGTCCAGTATTTGTGTTGCATCAGAAGCCAAAAAATCTGAGCCAGACCAACAACTCATTGCAATGAATATTTACATGTTTAGTTTTAGTCTCAGTGATCTGTCAATTCACCAATCCAGAGGTGTGTTGAAGTCTCCTATTATTAATGTGTGGGGTTCAATGTGTGATTGAAGCTTTAGTAATGTTTCTTTTACAAATGTGGGTGCCCTTGCATTTGAAGCATGTATGTTCAGAACTGAGATATCATCTTGGTTGATTTTTCTTTTGATGAGTATGAATTGCCCTTCCCCACCTTTTTTGATTAATTTTTATTGAAATTCTATTTTATTAGACAGTAGAATAGCTACTCCTACTTGTTTCTTATGTCCATTTGCTTGGAAAACCTTTTTTCCAGCCCTTTATTCTGAGGTAATGTCTACCATCATTGCTGAGGTGTGTTTCTTGTATGCAAGAGAATTATGGGTCCTGTTCATGCATCCATTCTGTTAGCCTGGGTCTTTTTATTGGGGAGTTGAGGTCATTGATGCTTAGAGATATTAGTGACCAGGTGCTGCTACTTACTGGTGTTTTGATGTTGGTGGTGGTAGAGTTTGTGTTCATGATCCCTTTCTTTTGGTTTTGCAGCTGTGGGGTTATTTGTTTCCTGTGCTTTCCTGGGTGTAGTTACTCTCCTTGGGTTGGAATTTTCCTTCTAATGTCTTCTGCATGGCTGAGTTTGTGCCTAGGTACTGATTAAACTTGGTTTTGTCATGGAATATCTTGCTTTCTCCATCTACACTGATTGGAAATTTTGCTGGGTATAGTAGTCAAGACATCTGTGCTCTCTTAGTGTCTCCATGACCTCTGACCAGGCTATTCTGGCTTTCAAAGTCTCTGTTGAGAAGTCAGGTGTAATTCTGATAGGTCTGCCTTTACATGTGACTGGCTCAGCTTGAGACTCATGCCATGAGTGTGTTTACTCCTGACACTGCCTGGAGCTCCAGGAATCAGAGTCTGGATAGCACAGACACCTGCAAAAAATGTCAATGAAATTATTCTTACGATAGATATTCTGTTATACTTGTAGATAGGTCCCCACTTGAGCCTTCCTTGCTTCTCATCATTGTCATCAGAGAGGGTTCATCCAGCAGCTGATGGAAACAGGTGCAGATTCCCACAGCCAAACATTAGGTGGAGCTCGGGGAATCCTGCAAAAGACAGGAGGAAGGATTGTAGGAGCTGGAGGCGACAAGGGACACCACCAGGAAACCCTCAGAATCAACTAACTTGGGCTCATAGGAACTCACAGAGACGAAACTGACAATGAAGGAGCCTGCAAGGGTCTGATTTAAGTCCTCTACGTCCTTGTTACGGTTGTGTAATTCAGTCTTCCTGTAGAACTCCTGGCAGAGGGAGTGTGGACTGTCTCTGACTCTTTTGCTTGCTTTTGGGAGCTTTTTTTCTTGCCCGGGGACTCCTCATACAGCCTTAACGTGAGGGGAAGTGCCTAGTCTTATGGCAAC